CTACGGCCGCCCGAACAACAAGACGGCTGGCGGTCAGACACGTCGCACTACGACGACGACGACGACGGCGGCGGTCAACCTGAACCCTCGAGCCTCGAGCCTTTCCCCCTTTGATGTACCCTTGTACAGACCCGCAGAGAGCCCCATTGCTGTGGTTGCAACTTGCTGTTAGCCGGGATCTCCCTCGGGCTCGCGCCGTGGATCGCATGAGTGATCGTCGAACACTGCCTCGAGCTTTGAAGGTTTGGGGAGGAAAAATTCGTCTGAACATTCATGCTTGTCAAAGCTTTTGCCGTGTTTCCCACGAGAGAATCTGTCAAATAAGGTTAGCCGTCGTCCGATGTTCTGGGGAACACACACACACACACACGCACTTTAACATTGGCCGTCTTGACGTAAACAACTGTGCAACTTGTCAGCATCATCCCGTCGGTGTCGTTCGTGTTGACGTTGGCAAAGCTGGGTCGCCCTGCCATGACCCCTGCAGGCAAAGAGAGGACCTCCTCGACGGCCAAGACCAGTGAATTGATGAACGGAGAAGACCGAGCAATTCAGCGATGACAGCTGGGTCGGGTATGGAGTACGGAGTAGACGCCGACCAGTCACCATGGTCAGCTTCTCGTTGCTGGCTGCACGTATCCCGTTCGGCTCGAAACACGCGTAGTTGCTGCCCAGATTCATCAGGGACAATTTTCTTAGGTTTGACGCTGTGTTTCCTCGTATGAATAACGCCACATATTTCCCGAAGGCCCAGATGGTGAGAGTTCGCGTCTTCGTATAAGAGTAGCGTGTTAGACGATCAGCGTATGGCGAAATAAAAGAGGGCACGGGATCGACTCTCTGCTAGATCGTCTGGGAACTCGGTAGCGATGCAGTGCCTGGGAAAGGGTTACTGCAACTCTGCAAGAACGGCACAGCCCTATGAAAGCTAGCCGCCGGTAATCTGCGTCGAACCATGGTTGGACGCTGCCTTATCTCTGGAGACGCACAAAAGTCGGCACAAAAATAGAAAGCCGTTCATCCGGTGTGGGAGGAAGCCCGCCAAGCTGTCCAGGCCCCAGAGCCAGCCAGGCTTGACCAGTGGGGGTTTGGAGAATAAAATGATAGGGAAGAAAAGAAAAACCTCCCCGAAGTTCTGGCGTGAACTCAAAAAAGCGTAGACGCAGGAACCCGGTCACCCTATGGAGCTGGAGCTGGTGTGTTGTTGGAGAACTTGCGAAGGGAAGAAGTTGGAAGGGAAGAACCCCGTTGGCCGGATTCTGAAACGAGCAAGACATTGTGTCGATCCCGCCCAACTTGGCGTTCTTACCCCTGCCTCTTTAGGACCTCGCTAAACCCTCCTGGGACGATGGCCAAGGGATCGTGGAGTCCCCCGGCTCCCCTTTTTCGCAAACCGTAATGTCTTTTTTGATTGCATTAGAGCCTCTATGACTCGTATTCTCTCCTTCCACAACCGCCGAATCGCTCCAACCTTCCAAGCATACTTTGTAAACGTATGCGTCTCCTTTTCTTGGCTGGCTATCCACATATCCCACAGCCTCACGATCCCAGGACAGATGCAAAACGGATAAGACGGATGCGCGTGCACATAAACATCGTATCCGCCCCATTTCCAGTGCAAATCTCCAATGCACAATGCGTCGTCTTTGTCCGGACTTTGACGTCACACCCGGCGGCGGGTAGCCGGACGGGCCGACCGCCTTGAGGTGGGAGCCGGGCAGGACGCCGATCACCGCGAGGAATGGAGGCTCTGCCGTGTTCTCGTACGACTTGCAACTCATTGCATTGCATCCACCACATTGGGTTTCCTGGGCGGACGTTCATCATCAGCCGCATGCCATCGAGATATCGATGGACTACACCTCTGCCAACGACGGCCGAAGTTGGACCCCAGAAACACGTTTAACCCACTAATGAAACTATCGTGAGGATATCTCTCGTGAAACCTCGTGTTCACTAGCTTGCGGGCGCTAGGGATGCTTCGGACCCGAACTCCTCTACATCAAGCCACGAAGAACGGAACAAAGCCGCGTGAGTAGTCACGGGCTCTGTTTGAGCGGTCATTGCGACTGTAGAGACCGACAATACGGAGTAGACTCGGTCCCAATTATACGTGGATCCAAATGACGAGAGTGCCTTCTCGTGAAAGACTTTGCCTCTTTTGGATCAATGATCTCTCCCAACTACCCGAAATGGCACCATGGTAATTGCAAGATCTTGATCAACAATACAAAAACAGCGAATTTTGTTCTAGCTGCAACTTCCTCTGCCCAAACGCAGAATGACTTGGACGTGGGGTTAATCTCCGACGCAGAAACGCCCCGAAACTTTGCTGAATACGATCCTTGAAGTGTGCTGCCCAGCACATCTCGATACGAGTCGAATGGCCATCCGGGTGTTTTGTCATCAAGGCAGACATGGGCATCGCCTACACGTTCTGATATAAGATTCAACAATTCGTCAATACACTGGAGGAGCTTTGGTGTCGCCTTCCTTAGTCTCTGAGCAGGACTCCGAATCTCGTGTACTTAGGTTGGTGTAAGTAGTCTCCAGCATCAAGTTCGCTGTCGCTTGAATTTTCCCGATGCTACGCCATCTATCTGCAGCTCAGAGTACCTTACTTAGCAGGATGGAGGCTGGGATTCGATTGTAAGGCGTACCTACGTGGCCTGCCTTTTGGTGTAAGCTGGGATGCAGTAAGAAAGCAACACCTGGTTTTCCTTGAAGGGGATGTCTTGTACCCATTATGCCGTGATGTCAGTCGATGATGAAACTTCACGCTTCTTACCCAAACACTTGTCGTCGTCTGCCTCTCATCATAAGAAGAAATACCTATCTCTCAGCCCGACGTGCTTGCCTAGAGGAGGACACCTTGAGAGGCACTAGCAACCACTCAATCTAGAGGGTATAAATGGCCGCCGTATCAGCGCCCACACTTCAGTCAAGACATGGCAGGGTCATGGTTGATGGTTGATGGCTTCGTACGCCGGATGGCCATGCTATCTTGTCGATGTCGCTCGTATACAAGACCAGAGAAATCCTGCTGCATCCACCTCCCAACTCACAGCGAACACTCTTCCGCAATTCTATTCAATACAAGCTTATTGGCCATGGAATACGCCACGAGTATCCGATACTGCACGAGGTGAAGCCACTTCAATTGCAGCTGGTACACGAAAGAAGTTTTATCTCGAAGCCCTCCTTCAAGCCAGTCGCGAAGCCCATCATCATAGAAGCTGGCGCGACATCAATCGACGACTTACGCAGTCTGGTCAATTATTTGACTGAGAGCACAAGGCTGGTCCATTTTATATTAACCTCAGGCTCTACGATAAAGGTAACTTGAATCGTGTTTTACAATCTCTGCAATGAGATTATCTGACCGTCTCAATATCGTAGTGAGAGAGTATTCTTATGCCTTTGCACAACATGGAACATTCCGTCTTATCAGGTGTTTCTGTTCCCGAGGCAGCTTCCACGGGATTTCTTGGAGAAGCCGTTTTCTCAAGGTTCAATATCAGTCATTCGGCACTTGTTCTTGAGCAGCTGGCTTCTCATAAACAGTGGTGGAGGAGAGGAGTAACATCAGTCTTTACCTAGGTGCTTCAAATTTCGGTCTAGTGCTGTGAACCTCGCTCCTTCTTGCCCCAACTAGGTTCGTAAGAACGAGACTGATTACTCTCGGATGTCGAGTTCGGCTCCCGCAGCTGCTTTAACGATCCCTATCCCAGACTATCTCGACTTTCAACATTTGACTCTCTCGGCTCGATACGCAAGAGAAAAAGAAGAAGAAAAAAAAGAAAAGGAAAAACTCTTCTAATTCCTCACGACCAGCTTCGCATCTCACGGTGGCTTATGTGCGGCTGGCATTTAGACGCATCTTTACCCCGCATAACATACGGTAGCTCGTGGGATAGATCCCCCTTGTCCTCCCGGTCCTTGGATCAACGGTAACCTCTCTGCCGTTTTCTGCCTTACACTTCCGCCACGCGAAGACTAGAGAGACAGTGGCGCGCACGAAATGCTCCGTAGCGGCAACACCTGTATGACCGTTTCCGGATAGTCACAACAACTACCGTCTCTCGGCCCTACGGTCATGCTGTCTGCGGCTGTTTCCGAGTTATTGGAATCCCATTGTGAAAAGCTGATAGCCTTCAGACTTTCAGCATCGCCTGATATCGAGGATTGAGCCATCCAATCAAGTGACGCATGTCTTGAACCCTACAGTGTTCCCGCCGCGGGGTACTTATCATCATTTGGTGTCGAATGCGGAATGTTGAACCTCAGCTCTCTTATTAGTGAGCTGCGGCTGATGAATGGTGCTCCGTTATCGTAAGAATGCGTTGCTACTACGATGTGATAGCCAATGCCGAGCACTCTTCCGTAAACCGGCTCATGTCTCGCACATTGGATCACGCCGCTGAGGGTCAGTATGTATGGACTGGGGAAAAGGACAGTGGGCACCACAGCCTAGTATTCCCCATATTCAAGGCTTCTCGGAACACAAAATTTGGCATCGCGAGAATATTGCTGGAAATCCATCACGTTTCCTAGAAGGTAACAAGTCATAGCCAGGAAGAGACTCAAAGTTCAAGAACCATTTTATTCTACAGCCCACCATGGAGCTTCACTTCCACAGGAAGCGTTGGCAAGAAAGAGCCCTCGTTAACAACAAATATCAATGTACTAGAGCTGCAAGCTTCCGTTCTGCTAATCCAACAACCAGCATACCGGAAACAGATCCCACTCCTCTCGCTGAGTCAAACGTGGCTGGCTAAGATGGTATGTCTACTGTTCTACGCATCCCTCGAACAACCCTCGTAGCCCTGATACTAGAGAAAGTAATAACATGAGGGTGCAGAGACCATAGAGACGATGTATAAAAGGAGGCCCTCATCCCCCCCAAATTTGACATATCATTGACCTCGAACACATCCTACCTTACATCACCTGTCTCTTCACCCCGCACAAACTCTGCCTCTACTCGAAATACAGAAATCATGCCTGGAGTCTACATTAAGAAGAATGGCCGCGTGCCTCACGAATCTTTGGCTCGTCGCATTGGCGGATGGCTACCGTCAAACCCCCATCGGATCCAGAAACATGTCAGAGAGGTGCTCAAGAGAGCGAACGCCGCAAAGCTGCCCATCGTCCCTCCCATTGCCGACCTTCAGAATCTTCTTAACAATAGCGCCATCGTCCGCATGCTCTTTACCGAGATGCTCACCGAGGTCCCGGCCAAGTACACGACTTACCCCGGAGGCGCGCCCAACGCCGAGATCAGAACTCTCGACGACCTCGTTGCCGCTCTCAATTACCAGATTCAAAGTCCCATACAGTGGAACGATTCAGTCCAGATCGGCACTCCGATCAACGGCCTCCTGGACTGGCCCATGGCCACCGAGGCCGGCTTCGCGGCGTTCCTCCGAGACGACGTCAACAGCGTCTTCCAGAAAATGCTGAACTACTGGGGCGCTTTCCTCAAGAGCACGGCTTCCGCCGTGACGATCACGACGGCAACGAACGGCTGGCTGTCGCCGCAGGCACAGGCTTCAGGCGGCCTGATGAACTTCCTCAACACGTACCAGGCCCCTGACCCCCAGAACCCCACCACCTACGGCTTCACATCATGGGACCAGTTCTTCACCCGCCAGTTCCTGCCCGGTCTGCGACCGCTAGCCTCGCCTAATGACGACAACGTCGTGGTCAGCGCAACCGAGTCGACGCCCTTTGAGATTCAGCGCAATGTCCAGCTTCAGGACACCTTCTGGGTCAAGAACCAGGACGAGCGCACCAACTACAGCCTCGCCGACATGCTGGGCGGCGCCGACGTCGCAGAGCAGTTCGTCGGCGGCACGGTCTACCAGGCCTTCCTGAGCGCGGACAGCTACCACAACTGGCACGCCCCCGTCTCGGGCAAGTACCTCGGCGCGCCCAAGATCATCAACGGGACGTACTACTCGGAGCCCGTCATGTGGAGCTTCCACAACGACCAGGGCCAGTCCGACCCGGACCCGGCCTCCGACGAGCTCTCGCAGAGCTACATCTCCGCGGTCGCCAAGCGCGGCGTGGCCCTCATCCAGGCCGACAACCCGGCGATCGGCGTCATGGCGGTCGTCATGATCGGCATGGCCGAGGTCTCGTCGGTGGACTTCTTCGACGTGCCCGACGGCTCCTTCAAGAAGGGCGATCCGATCGGGTGCTTCCACTTTGGCGGGTCCACGCACTGCTTGATCTTCGGGCCCCACGTCAAGATTGACTTTGCTGCAGATGCCGACCCGGTTGCGAACATCATGACTCCGGGCCCGCCTGTGAAGGTTCTGAGCCAGCTTGCTACTGTTACGCCTTCGAACTGAGTTAAGGGTTGGTGGACTTCGTAGTCCGATTTGTTTCGAAGGATAGCTCTGCTGGAAACCTTTACTTAATGTCTGGTATTACCCTTTTCTTCAAGTCTGGAACTGTTGCCATGATGTTTAGCTATGACAAATTAATCTTATTCTTAAATGTGAGCCTTTGTTTGATGTGAAGTGTACTTACTTACGAACAACAGTGCGTTTGCTTGAAGGTATAACAGGCTCAGATAACGCACCGCTCAAGAACCCCTCAAGCGTGAGCCAGCATTTACCTTTGGCTTGGGCTAGTGCGGTGAGGTGGGATGTAAGTCCCTGAACCCGGTAGTATTCTAGTATCTTAGGCTGTGACCCTCTCACGCAAGCCAATGAGCAGACACTCGAGTCTCCCTTCACTGTATCGACAAGAATTGGATATTGAGTCATGGTAGTATCCTGTATATAGGTAGTATATATATCATACATCTGATACAAAGATCAGGTCTCATGGTAAGTCTCATTCGCTCCCAAAAAAAACAGAACACCTTCCACACCTGCTCACGCTACGATTGCACTTGTCCTGAAAGAGGCAAATCTACAACTTTGACGGCTTGGGCGCCTTGGGTCTCTGAACCGGCGTCGCCAACGGGTCGTACACAGCACCCATAAGGTTGTCAGAGGGCGTAGAGCCGTGGTTGAACAGACTCCGCGTATCGATAAGCGACGGGTTGAGCTGATCGATGCTCGTGCAACCAATAAGACGCATGTTCATCTCCATCTCGTCGCGGAGCAGCTGCATAGCGCGATCGACACCGTCGAAGCCGTAGCCGGCCATGGCGTACAGGAAAGGTCTGCCGATACCGACACCCTTGGCACCGAGGCACAGCGCCTTGATTATATCGGTAGCACGACGGACACCGCCGTCAATGTAGATCTCAATCGCGTTCTCCAAGCCCATGCGGCGAAGCACCGGCATCGTCTCGGCGAGGACCTCAATGCCGGACCGGGCAAAGTCGAGCTGGCGACCACCGTGGTTGGAGAGCACAACACCCTGGACACCGGCCTCGATAGCCTTGACGACGTCCTCAACACGCTGCACACCCTTCAGGATGATGGGCATGTTGGTGATGGACTTGAACCAGGGGATATCCTTCCACGACAGGGCCGGGTCGATAAAAGACGAAATGGCGCGAGCAGCACCCTGGCTCTGATCCGTCGCCTGGCCCGACTGCACGTTGGCGCCCGGGTCGGTGAACTTGGACCGCATATCCTTCTCGCGACGACCCAGCTGTGGCGCGTCGACGGTGATGAAGAGGCCCTTGCAGCCGCGCGCCTCGGCGTGCTGCACAATCTTCTTTGTGATCTCGCGGTCCTTGTTGACGTAGAGCTGCATCCACTGCACCTGGTCGCCCTCGGCGGCGTCCATGAGCTCGTCAAAGGAGCACGAGGCCAGCGTCGGGATCATCTGGATGACGTTGTGCTTGCGGGAGGCGCGGGTGAGGAGGACCTCGCCCTCGGGGTGGCCCAGCTTGCCGAGGGCGGTGGCGGTGACGTAGAAGGGCATGTCGACCTTTGCGCCGAGCATGGTGGTGGTGAAGTCTACCTTTTCGACGTCGACGAGGATCTGCGGCCTGAACCAGATTCTGTGGAAGGCACCGTGGTTTTCGCGCAATGTCTACGGGAAAGATCAGTTAGAAATCGTGTCTAGTCCCCTGCTAGGTGCGATTCTGCGGTGTCGACCTACGATTTCGTCGTCGGCTGCACTCGAGTAGTATCCCCAAGCCGTCTTCTTCATGACTCTGCGTGCTACGGCCTCGAAGTCCATCAGGTTGTAACATTGGGACAACAGTGGCTTCTGCTCAACCCTCTCCAAGCGCTCAATCTCTTCGGGGTCCTCCTCCTTCTCCTCAGCCACTACAGAAGTCATGTCGACGGGGCCAAGATGCTTGGACTGCTCGAGGTACTTGTCGAGGGTGTCGGGCGGGTGGATGGGGTCGAACTCTTCCGTCGCATCTTTGCCGGCGTACTTGAGGATGATTTTTGAGCCACCGGGGTGCTCTAAAGGTCGTCGTTAGCAGGGAAAGCACTTGAGGGTACTATAGAAGAACTTACCAGGCAAGAAGTCCGTCACATCGTAAGCTTTGCCCTGTTAGGTAGCCAATGTCAATTGCCTGCCAATTGACATTGAATCGACACCTCATCATAACTTACGTGAACAATGACCCAGCAAGAGTCGGCACTGTTGTGCTTCGCGATATCGTCACCCTTCAAGCCCATTTTGCCTGCTGTTCGTTGCGATTGTTGTCGTTGTTCCGGACGAAGGGAAGAAAAGGAACTTGGAAATTTATCGACAGGTTGGAAAATCCGGGGTAAAGGCCGGCAAAGAGGTAGATCTTTCTCCACGGGGTAGTGTCTGATTTATGGGTGGCTTGCTTGCTGGTCTAGTCGAATCCAAGGTATTTCAAATCAGAGGGACCGGGAATAGCACGTTTTACAAACACCAATGACGGGCAGAAGAAGTAATGGAAGAGAAGCCGACGCAGATCTAGGGGCCGGAACCAAGAGCAGAAAAAGATGTAGGTGTCGTCTCGCTAGTCAGTCCGAGAATCGGGACTCCAAAAAAGTTCTCCTAGGTCAGAAATGTTGGGGGAAGCAAGCACCTATCTTCTCTTGAAGGGGGGGGATTCGACTTGGAGAAAAGAGACGGTTGCCGGGGGGCGAAACCCATCAAAGGTCATCAGCTCGCTCTTCATTGTACCGTCGCAGACTGCCGCGCCCCACACTGGCTCCAGTGCAGCGCTAGCGGCCCATCTCGGGTCAATGGGGTGCGGGGTAATTTGTCGGTGACGTCCTCCACACTTGCACTTCCTCGGTGTAAACTGCTACCGGTCTCCATCCCGGGCTATCCCCGAAAGGCAATCCGTGCCCACCCACGCACCGTCGCACACCCACGCGTTCGTCGTGGGCAGCATGCCAGCGACAGCAACGCCAACCGCAATCTTTTCGGCTTGGAACCCGCTGCTGATACGGATACTCGCGGCTACACTTCCGAAGGAGGGTGCGGGATGGCCCTTCTTTATCTCAACTACACACGTGTGTATGCGCCACTCGAGCCGTCAACGCCAACTTAGTCTTAATCTAATCGTTCCTTTCGACCGGTACCATGAAGTCTATTCCCTTAAGTGCTCGTCGCCACCGTTTCACACGTATTGAAAGTCACGTAAATCATAAGCAGACACTCACTCTCGACATTAAGGACCTCCTCAACTTCAATCCCTATTTATGATGGAAGCAGTCACTGGTGTGATTGGGGCCGTTATGGAAAAAGCTGGGCAGGCATTGTTCGATTGTATACATCAATGGGTGCAGCTCCTGGGTTGTCAGAAACTGAACTGGCGTCTTCGCCGGCTTATTGTTAGATAATGGTGCTTTGGTTGACCACAGTCACGAAGGCCTATACACTCGATCCCCAGAACACCACACATGTGCTTTCACTTTCATGAGAGACTAGCCTTGAGCCCGTGGATTGCCGTTCCCGGCTTACCTCCCACTGCCCAGCCCCTCATAAGGACAATCGCAAGAAGTATCAGTAGCACCCCCAGGAGTAAGGTCCTGATCAGCGACGCCTGCTTTCTCCGCTTCTCAACCACTTGAGCATCTATCTTGTACCATTCCCAACTCTTGATCGTATGGTACTCATCCCTCAAGATGGGCCTCGCGGGATCCGGCATGATGTCAGCCAGGTCGATTTGTATCTTGAGGAGAAGTTTGACAAGCTTGGCCACCAAAGGGTTGGGGTGCCCGGTGCGCTGTTGTTCTCGGACCTTGGGTGGTACGATGGTGAGGAACAGCTGTCGGCCGAACCATTGGAGATACCTGCCCATTCATGAGATATGCCATTGGCAGATGTCGGGGATGTTCAGTGAAACGTACCTTGGAAACCAAAGTTCGGCAAACTGATCAACAACCCCCTTAGATATCACAGCCCCCTTGACTCTTTCTTCCTCACTGGTATACGTATCAAACGGCAGCTCCCGATACCACTTGTGAAAAGCCTCAAGTTCCTTCCAGTCCCTCGGGAAATTCACCCCAAAGCTCCTCGACCCGTCCTCTGGCTCCGACCGAAAGTGCGCACACGCCCTCTCGGCCCACGCCGGCCACGCCGCCGCCAGCTTGGGGTGTATGTCCCCGACCCTCGCCCCGACGAGGTCCCTCAGGTACGTCTCAAAGTACGCCGACCCGATGAGTGACATCTGGCCCTCCCAGGGGTGGCTGAACGTCCCCGGCGCATTCTTCCACACACCGGCGTGGATCTTATTGACCCTCTCGATGCCCTCGACGGCCTGCGGGGAGGCGCTACCGTACCACATCCAGTCGAGGAGCCGGTCCTGCGTCTCGTAGAAGCGCTGATGGCCGCGGCGGAAGAGCTTGCCCGTGCTGTGGACTGCTGAGGCGCCCGCCGGCGTCTGCGTCAAGAGGATGAGGGTCGAGGTGTAGCCCATGGCGATGGCGAAGCTGGAGCCGGTGAAGAAGGTCGAGGTCTGGATGATGCGGTCGTACTCGGTTTCTGGGTCGAGCTATGGCACGTCAATGAATTCGTTCCAGAATATTTGGATCTTATTGGTGCTTTCGTTGTTACCAACCTGGTCAAGATACGCCGATATCCACTTCCCTTTCCTCTCTGCCTCCGGTGGCCATTCTGGGACCGGCCTTTTGGGTTCTGCTGGTGGCCTTGGTTGTCGTGGATGAGCTTCAAATTGACTTATGCTATCGGTTCCAGGAGGGAGATTATTGGTGAGATCAAGCTTGTAGAAGCTCCTCTTGCGGCTTCTCAAAACGGATTTTTCGTCCATGGCAACTGACTAGGACGATCGAAGCTGATGCGCGGTAATTCTCCGTTACAAGTCTTTTACTTTTCTCAGAAAGGTTCTTGTCGCGAAATTGTCAACCTTGGTCTCGAATGCGGATCTAATACACCGGTATTTGTATTCATATCCAATGTTCTGTACGTATGCAAATTCCGAGAAACCAGTTCATTCCGAAATCCTTGCCTCCCGTAATACAGGCGAAAGTTTCCCCATGGGAAGACACGAGGCATCTTTGTCCTTATTTTTGTTTAAGAAGTCCATGTTACAACAGAAACTCGATAGCCATTTTGCAGGCAACGCACGATGTTGGCTTGGTCAAGGCGACTTGACATGGGATGAAAAGCGAGCCAAGACCACGGGATGACCTTGCGGCAAGTCGTTCGGCAGCCTGACAACGGCAAAGAACAGACCTCAAGAGCCCGTACGCCGCTTAGTGTGCGGTCGCCTGAAGATCGCTTCCTAGTCTGCCCAAACTGCTTACCTTTCTATAAGGTAGAGTGCGGAACCTTTCAAACTCCGGCAGAAACCAGACTCTCGGTGTCGATCAACCATGCAGTGCTATAATGAGATCATGAACAACATTCCATAGAATACATCGACCTAGTTGCAAATACAAACGTTTCGAAACCATTCAATCAGTCAACCGTTCGGCTCGGAAGCAACTTGCATCCGGGCATTGCTGACATGGTGACTGATTATGTATATACGACGTACCCTTTTCCGGTTCATCTAGATTGCATTATGGTAGGTCTTAATCATGGCTTGTTTGCCACATATTGTAATACTTTGTTGAAAAGCCTGCGGTTGCGAGCACGAGTAGATGTTGATCTAACCCTAGGAGAAATATTCAAGTGTGGCAAAGACAGCCGACCTTGCCGACTAATGAATTATAAGGTACAATCCATACCTAGTGACATCCATAACCACAAGTCTTTTCACTGAAAAAAGCCAACTTTTAAAACATGCCATCTGGCTTGTCATATCTTCCAGGAAAAGGATTCGTACATGTCAGGCTATCAGCCCATGGGCCGAGGGTACTCTGCAGGGCCATCCCACAGTACATTTTCAACTTGACTCTGCCCACAGCGGCAAAGCGGTCAGATCTCAGATGCAACCACGCGATGGCAAGATTACAGGGCCTGGTGTTGGTGTTCTCTGCAATAGCCTGTAATCTTGACATCGCGTGGCAACCAAGCGAGAGCTGAAGATAGAGAAACTATATACGAGGCCTCATTCGCTGGGAAGGGGTTGGGGGGGCATAATACCTAGCCCGAACTTCAAAGGTTGCGGGGGTCTGTTGGACACCTCAACTCGAGGCCCAATCAGTGCAACCTATTCGAGTCCAACTGCAGATGCAGGTCTTGACTGTTGGGGCCTGAGCGGCTCGTTCGAACTTTTGATAGGGCCTTGAAGAGGACGTAGCCCGTCACACCTAGATATTCCATGAGCAACAGACCTAGTAGATGCAACCCAGGCTGCATGGAAAATTAGAAACGGACAGCTGCAGGAACTTCGACTTGAGGGGGGAACAGAGTAAAGGGGCTAGCATCTGACCATGCATTCTCTTCGTCGTGACGTTTTTCTATTAACACATCATCCTTCTGAATTGCTTCTTTCCAAACTTGTGACTTGTAAAGAGGCATCCTTCACTGCGGTATGACCGACTCCCGCCAATCCGACGGCGGTTGCCTCTCTGCCTTATGCTCTTGCTTCAAGAGACGAGAGAAGCCGCGTCATGACGTTTCCGGGTCTCCTGCGACCGGCGTTGGCATCCTACCAGCGTCAAAAGCGGCTGACGATGGAAAGCCTAAGCCTACAGACCCCAAGGTCGGACGTCATGATTCAGTACTAAGCGTCTCACGCGCGACATCATCTACTAGTAATGCGGATGACCCTTCACTCCTTCCTGCTTCCAACGTTCCGGGACCATCTGCAATGAACGGCTCTACTCCAACCATTGATTTATGGCAGGAAGCATGCAAGAAGGTGGACGTGAAAACTCAGATATGGATCGCCAGTCTTCCTCCACCGAGCAATGTCCAGAATCCTGCAAGTGAGTTGGCGGAGTTCGTTCGAGCTAGCGAAGAGGAACACAAGCAAGAGTCGTTGAAGCTCAAATCCGGCGACCGAGAGATTCTGTGGAGGAATTATGCGAATAAAGTTATCCCTATGGTGACTGCGATTGGAAATATTGCCATCAACTTTGCCCCTGCGCCCTCTAACGCCGTGTGGTCAGCTATCAAGGTGCTTCTGGCGGTATGTGTTGCAGCAAAGCATGAATACACTCTTGCCAATACAACGATCTAACGATCTTGCAGGCCCACGTATCTGAGCGTGAGGATCTTGTGGCTATTATGGGATGCACCGACATAGTCCTCTGCCTCGTGAGGCGCGGTAGAGTGTACGAGAAGGTCTACATTGGGAACTCCATGTCGCCTAGGCCGCCTTATCAGGAAGATTTGATGACGAAGTTGGTTGAAGTATACGCGAAATGCTTGGAGTTTCTTGCTTTTGTCTACGAAGAAATGGAGCATGGTAGTTTGCGCCGGTTCTTCGACGCGCTCGTTGACCCCGGTTATGGCGAAAACCGGCTATCAGAAGTGAGAGCACTTGAGCAGGAACTTGAGCTTGCAACTCGTCCTTGCAAGGCTACAGCAGATGATGAGCATCGGAGATTGCTTGAAAGTCTTGAAGAACCGATTAAGCGTACCGACAAGAATGTCATGGATATTCTTAAAGTGCTTGATAAGCAAGAAAGAGACAAGGCTATGGAATACGTCAGTGTAATTCCAGTCGGATCTCATCATAACGAAAAGGTCGAAAAAAGAACCAAGGGCACATGCGAATGGTTGGTCAGCCGTCCTGAATTCCTTGAATGGGAAGACTCTGATTACGCTCCGGTGTTTTGGTTGCAAGGTGACAGTAAGTATTAAGGCCCGAAGGCTGTTATGTGTAATAACAAACTGACCACGGTTCTATTCTGCAGTCGGTACAGGAAAATCGTTCCTATCTTCAAAGGTTATTGATCATTATCGATTTCACGACAAATTTGCTAGTTCATCGTCCAGTGAGCCCAGCGTGGGCCTTGCTTTCTTCTACTGCAACAGCTCTGATCGAAATCGTCAAAGCTTTCAATCCATTCTCCGAAGCTACGTCCGACAACTAGGCGAGGTGACCGGTCATCCTGAGAGCATTCATGAGGAATTGTTCAAACTATATCAGAGTAGACAAATCCAAAGCGACATCACGCTCAAAGATTGCGAGACAGCTTTGGTCGAGATGATCAACAGTTATCCTCGAACTGTTCTGATTCTCGACGCCTTGGATGAGTGCAAGAAAGACACGAGACGCCACATTGTTGAGCTCTTCAAACGTCTAGTGGAGAAAACCAAGAGTCTGAAGATATTCATTGCCAGCCGCCCAGAGCACGATATCAGTGACCATCTGAGGTCATTCCAAGAGCTGAGGGCGACGATCACAATCAATACTTCTGATAATCAAGACGACATCGAGAAGTTTGTCAATACAGAGGTGGACAACTTCACTGTGGATTGGAGCCCTGAAACTAAGCAGGTTGTTAAAGAGAAGCTTGCGAAGAAGAGCAAGGGAATGTGAGTTCTAGCTCACACACTATCCTTACCTACTTGAGCTGACTGGAAAAAACCTAGGTTCAGATGGACTTACCTGCAATGGGAACAGCTCAAGGAGTACGAGACCAATACCACTGTCAAAGCCAGGCTTGGAGACCTTCCCAGAACTCTGACTAAAGCCTACGACGAGATTTGCGATAAACACGAGCCTGGGGGCTTTGAGCGTTTCATGCTGCAGCGAGCGGTGAGATGGGTCATGTGCGCCCGCCAGCCTTTCGATAGTTGCACATTGCTGTCAGCAATTCGAGTGGAAAGCGAACAGATGCGTGAAGACGGCATGAAGGCTCTCGACAAGTCAGATCTCACCGAGAAAATGTTGGAGACTGTCTGTCGACATTTGATCGTGAGGGATCCTGAGCTCAAGGTCTGGAGGTTTTCCCATGCATCGGTCAGAGAATACTTTGAAGATAAGAAAGGAGAGCCGTGGGTCAAAGACGCGCCAGCGGAGGTAGCAATTGTCTTGATCAACTGCTTGAGGGATTGCTGCGCAGGTTACTCCTCTATCTGGCCACCCTCAGATGTTGAACCCTTCTCGAGTACCCTCCAGGAAAATTCATGCTTAGACTTAGACGACTGGATGAGGGCAGGAGGGGCGGACCTTGACCAGCCTTTAGATCCTCGGCATCCACTTCAAGCGTACATTCATCGGAACTGGCTCGCACACCTACACGATCTTTCAGAACAAGATGACAGAGCTGAAGACGTAGCCTTTGCTTTGAAACGATTCCTGGGTGAAGAATGTCCTCCTCATTCCTCGAGGGAGTACCGGGTGTTTTGCAGGCAGACATCCCCCTGGTTCGAACCTCAACATATACAGCCATTTGCCAACTTCGCCTTTGGCGTTGTGGCAATGGGTCTCCATCGATTCCTGCCTGAATGGTGGAACGAAGGCCTCGATCTTCCCTCGTTGGTGAATGAGAACGGCTTGAGCCTGCTGCAGATTGCCACCTTTGTTGGCCACTACGACGTCTGTCAATTCCTAATCAGTCGGGGTTGTGACGTCAACGCATCTTTTCACTTCCTTTACGGCCCTCCGTTGTGGATATCAGTAGCCCAGGAAAAGATTGATGTCATGGAGCTGCTCCTCAAGAACGGTGCAAACGTGGACTGCGTCTTCCAAAATCGAAGTCTGGCTTGTCTGGCAGCCACTGTGGGATCTGAGTATTGCACTGTTCTACTGAAGAATGGCCTGGATCCCAACACCAAATGTCCACGCACGTGCTCCTTTGGTTGTGCCCTGTCAGCGGCTACTTGGAAGGGCGATCTCGACGCCATAAAAACCCTGGTTAGCGAGGGAGCAGATGTCAATCCGGAGAATCTCGAAGACCTCTATGGCTGTCCTTTGATTAATGCTATAGAGAGTCAAAATCCCGAATGTGTTCGCCTTCTTCTAGAGCACGGAGCTGATGTCAACGCCATGCCGGAAGATTGTAGATATGGTAGTCCATTGGCAGCTGCTGTATGGAGGAGAAACGTGGATTGTGCTCGATTACTGATTGAATATGGCGCCGATGTCAATGCAGATTTGACGTTTGGAAAACATGGTAGTCCATTGGCAGCTGCTGTATGGAGTGGAAACGTGGATTGTGTTCGGTTACTGATTGAACATGGCGCCGAAGTCAATGCGTATCTGGAGTTCGGAAAATATGGCAGTATCCTGGATGCTGCAATTTTCGGGTTTGTGCCGTCTGTCGTGATGATCAAGTTTCTTGTTGAAGAAGCAGGGGCAGATTTGGCTCAGCTGGCCTTTGTACGGCCCAGGAGAAAGGAAGTCGTAATCTGGAGGAGGCAAAGTGATCAGGAAGACGCGAAGGATGTGGCAGCGTATCTTTTACAGGAACTCCAGATGGAGAGGCAAGTGTTGATCAGCCTCGGCGTTCTCCCCAGGGATTTACCTCCCGATGTAGGTAATACGGCCGACATGGAGTATGATGAGTTGGATGATTAGGATTTGCGTTGAGGGTTTTGGTCTTGAGAGGGGCCTAGATGGTTTGGGTCCAGGTGATGATGACTGCTAGACGCGCTCCATCGCACGCGAGGCCGTTTGGAGTTGGTTTGTGGGTGGAATATTGAATCTCACTGGGAATTCGGGCGCCGCATTTACTAATGCTTCGACCTAAAACATTTCCGCGGTAGAAGTCTAGCTGGGGGAGACTAAGTTAGGATAGCTAGTAAAGTACAACAGATGGAGTAAATTTCGTCGTTTGTTGTGGGGACAAACTTGGTTAGAAACTGACCGAAAGCTTGCTACAATCTACGTGAATAAGACCGTAGTTTTTCATCAAAGGCTATTGAAGAAAAAAGCCCCTCACTGGCTTAATAGATCAGGTGCCATGAGGCCAAACCTCGTTCATAGTCCCGTTCAGCTTGACAGAGGTCCCCGGTCCAGTCGTATCTACATTGAACCCCCAATCAATAGGCTCAAACCTGTACCCTTCAATGGGACGTTTCAAAGTCAGTGCCTGTTGATAGAAAGAACGACGTGAGAGATTTGCGATATCAGAATATCAGATACTAAACGGCATGGGAAGATATCTGAGGGCCAAGAATACGATAGAAAGCACTTGAGGCAGCAGGAGCTGCAGCAAAGAGCACAACCGTAGCAATCGTATGACGCATCTTTGTATGGGTGGTTTCACTGTGTAAAGCCTCTGTTTCTTCAAACGACATATCGCGAACTGCGCCGCCTACGCCCAGGATCAGGCTGGAAAAGCCTCGCAGTATTTCACCCAGGAATCATTCACGGTTCCTCGGACATCATGAGACTTTCCTTAAGTAGCCTATGTGCCGGCTGTGTCTTGTTTCAGAAACTCACATACGGTCTGGCCTGGTGGTGGTCATAATGAAATTCTGATCGAGTTCTGCTGACCGTTGATACTACCTTGAGGTCCAGTTCCAGGGTCCTTCGTAGTCTAGTGCCAAGACTGGATTGAAGAACAACAACCAACGAACATCCAACAGACAACCAACGAACAACCCTTTACACTATGAATTCCAATTGGACCGCATATAGGGTTGTGGATTACATCAACCGATTCTCGTACCCATCGGCCCTTTTGAGGGTCTCATCAGGGTCACCAGCCCCCACGCACCCAGATCTGGAAACCAATTCTTGGAGCGACCCAGACTCTCTTTGTGGTCTTGGTATATGCTCGCTTTCCCCAGGATCATTAGCTGCCTAATCATGTCCAAGTCATGAGCCCGTGGATAGACATGTTCACACAGGAACAGGTGAAACACGGTCAATTTTAGGTAGGCAAGGATAGATATCATCACAAGTCATCTTGGGTATGCAAGCTCTCCAAGTTCCATGTCCCGGTCTCCATCCATGTGAATTCAATACGAGTCAAGACATTTTGCAAATCCAGTATAGGATACTGTACCCGTGAGTTCATTTTGACTCCATCTCTTGATGGTGAACTAACCATCATACCCTTGCGCCGTTCGTGGACTTATACGGACTACGCTTGCGTTCCCTTCAAGGTTTATCCCCCAGGAAATAAGCCTGTTTGGGCAGGTGAATGGGTTAATTGGGTGGGGTAATATGAGGCAACGGTTCCATATCCTACAACTGGTTAGATCGATGTAACTCAGTTCTCATGTGTCAGAGGCTGAAGAGGGCTCACCAGATGCATAAGTAGCAACAACTGCACCGACTCCCACCAACTCAGTAGACATCTATAGCTTGATTCCACAACCTCTTCCTTTAGCTACCTCTCATCACTCAACGTGTCATCTCCTACCCTCACACACACACCAAGTTCCCCTCCAAAAAAGTGAAGAAAAGATCCTCACCCCGGACCCGACTTGCTTCAACATGTTTTCTCGACTCTCCAAAACCGACAGCACCAAGCCTCTAATCAACAACGACCCCGCAAGCGAGTCTCAACCCAGCCCCGCGCCAAAGAAATCTCTCTACCGCAGATTCCAAGACTCCAAAAGAGGAGAAATCTCAGACGCCGACGTCCAAAAGTACACCGGCATGAGCAAAGACACCCTGGACGGGTGGGCGGCCGACCGTCCCGGCGTGGGCGGGAACAGGGCGGCGGGGAGCATCACGGCCGGCAGCCCGTCGGGCCTGGGTGGTATGATGGCCGAGACCGGGTACGGCGGCTGGGGTACGGACGCGAACGGGACGCCAAAGTTTCCACCCGCGACAAGGTCTGCGGATCAAGAGTCCGGCGGTGCGGCGGGTGGGGTTGCGAATAAGAATTGAGATGTAAGCCCGAAATAATTGGACAGATATGGAGGCTTGCAATAGGAAGGGCCACGAAGCTCCAGCTCGCAGTCTCCTACCATCTCTCAACGCAATCCACCACGACGCCATATACACTTCAGCTGCTGTTCATATCCTCTCCTCATACCCTCGCCTCGGAAAAGGTAGACCATGGTCAAAACCTCTCCTAGACGTATAAACGAGGTGCTGGTTCACCGCTCTATCCATCCACTCATCGTGAGCCACCTCAACTCACTCTTAGCAGGTACCTCACTGATCGCACCTTCTCCCTGAACACACAATAATCCCATATATACCACCTCACCTCCATTCCCGTCACCAGCCAGCAGGCGCCTCCTCGGGGGTCAGGTCAAAGCTGGCTGGTTGGTGGAGTGGTTGAAGTCCACGAACAGCCTACTCGGTGAAGGCTCAGAGGTCCCGTGTTCGAGTCCCAGCATGAGCACCAGAGATGTAGTCCCCATTCGCCACCGGGGGGGTGAACTCTTTTTTTTTTTTAAATTTTTTTTAGCATTCCTGATAGTTCGAACGAAGAGTTTACTTTACCCATGGTTGGGTGGGCATGCACTAATCTGGGAGCTCGAGGTGATGAAAACCTATCTCAGACTACCTGGACAGTCCGTCACATCAATCAGTGGGATGTTACTTTATGCAATTGTGGTTGGTTGTTTGGTCTATGTATAAGCCGCTCACCACTCTCATTCGGCTTTCCCCCTCTCAAGATGTCTTGCTAGTCTGTCGTGCCTACCAGCAAGCCTCATCACGCCTTAGGCCTACTCGGACCATTGATTTTGTGATACCATCCTGCCTGCAACCAACACTCGCTCGTCTTAGATGTTGAGCAGCTACATAACTCTCAGTTGCGTGCTTCGTGCAAAAGCTACCACCACTTGAAGTGTTATCAACGTCCTCAACTTGCGACTCGTCATTTCCAGCCACTCTTATTTCCAGTTGTTCAATCCCGCCCAAGGATCACTGTTCTGCTGAGGCTGAGCTGACCGTGGGTGCGCACTAGAAGGGTAGGCACTTTGTGGGTTTTGCTGCGGATAGTTTTGTTGTTGCTGTTGCTGCTGTTGGTAATCCTGCTGGCCGTAGAAAGTCTGCTGAGGGCCCAATGGTGGAGGACCAGGAGGCGGAGGCGGCGGAACGAACCCGGCAGGCATTTGTTGCTGTTGTTGCTGTGGGTTAGGGAAACTGCCGTACTGCTGGTTCTGATTGAATGAGGTCTGCGTTGGCGGGGGCGAAGCCGGGCCTCGCAAGACAGTTGGGCCAAAAGTGGACTGGTGGGGAGGCGGTGATGTTGGGCCGGGAGTGCGGCCGTACTGACTCGGATTGTATGCTGGCTGGCCGTATGTATTCGCCGGCTGAGGCGTGTAAGATTGCGAGGTGGGAGGGGCGGCGAAGCTCGGGTATTGCTGCTGGTTCGGAGGCGGAGACTGAGGGACTTGGTACTGACCCGAAAAGTTGGTCTGGGGGTATCGCGGAGTCGAGTTGTTGGCGAAGTTCAAAGGCGACGGCGTTGGCCGATTCGAGGCGGGCTTGGGTGACGACACAGGAGGCTCCATGGACATACGCTCCATCAAACCCCTCAGACGCTCGCGCTCCAGCTCAGCATGTGCGTCTTTACGAGTCGACCGCTCCTGCTCAATGCTGTTGAGGAGTTGAGCCCCCTCAGACCGCCTGTTGTTGACGAACGTATCGACGTTCTTCTCAAGGCTTTGTACAGTCTCCTTCATCTCAGCATACCAAGTCTTGGCACCTTGAAGACCAGCCTCCAGGTCGAGGAACTCCTGATACGCCCGCTTGTACTTGTTCATGACCGATGTCCTTTGGCGTTGCACTGTCTCGTACTTGCTCTGCTCCGAACGGACCCGCTTGTCCTGCAGCAGTGTGTTGAAGCTGGTTGTCAAGTCCTTCATCAAGGCGGACTGCTTGTGATTTGCCTGTAGCAATCTGTTCTGGTATGGCCGGAACTTTTCCAACTCTGACTGGAAGAGTTGGTTCTCGTAATTGGTTATTGACTTTTTGTTCAAAATCAGAATTTCCGAGATGTCGTCGTTGTGAACCTACGGATTTTAGTGCATTGTTCGGCTTTCTGCAAGGACTTCAATGAACAAACCTTTTCCTTGAGGTCTTTCAACACTTGATTGCGTTCTCTTTTGATCAGGTTCAACTTCTTCATGATCTCTTCCACTTTGTGGATTTGGTCAACGACACTCGGGCCCCCTTCGTCAAAGTCGACATCCAGCAGGTTTGGCTCGTTGCCCAAAGGACTCGTAACATTGCTCGATTTTCCGCGCACCTTGCTGACGGCATGTTGAAACAGGGACTCGATACTTCCGTGAGAGGCTGCCGCCCTCATCTCCTCGAATTCGACTTCATTTTGCCGTAATTTTGCCGCCAGTTGATTGTCGCTTCTCGCTGCCTCTTCCAACGCTTCTCGGTAGTTCCTGATATCGCTTCGCAGAGTTGATGTTAATCTCGAACTCGGTTGCTGGGTCCATTCGTTCTCGTATTTGGATCGCATCTTCTCGCACACACTTTCTTCCATATCCAGTTGTTTCGTGTTCTTATCCAGTGTGTTCACAATGATATCCTTGTCGGATCTCAAGATATCGAAAATGGCGGCGGGATCTTCATGCCCCGCAACATCCTCACACCAAGTCCTGAACTCTTCATCTGGCATGATTTCTTGATCGACGCCACCTTTGAGAACCTGCAGAGCGCCGGGAAGTCTCAAGTAGTCCAGACTTGCTGCCATTTCGCTGTTCGCCGTGTCCACTCGTTCCGTCTCAGCTCTGATCAATTTGGCCTTCTCCTCATCGTAAAGACTGGCCGATTCCGTCACAGCCAGGGGCACAATCTTGGAGAAAAGGTCGGGTCCAGTAATGCGCTGGATATCTTGGCCGGCGTAGAGCTCGCTGACAGGGATTGGTTTTGACGCAGGAAGCTTCGGGACGGGTGGAAGACTGGCCTCCGCGGGTACGGTTTGATGGTAGATGAAATCGTTATCCTTGCTGAACTCTTTGAGTTTGTCCTGAACAGTCGACAAGTGCCGTTTACTAAACTCGACCAAAAGCCCACCAGTCTCGGCGCTGAGGTTCGAGCTCGGGGGTACTGAGCTTGGGAAATTGGCAGCGATGCGGCTTGCCTCCTTGCCCTGGGTTTCTGCAGCTTGAAGTCTCGCGACAGCAGTTCCATGCTGACCAGCTTCGTCATCGGCGAGGGCCTGGTAGTACTGCGACATGGAGCTCAGGAGGTTGAATTTGACCTAAGTCTGTTAGCAGAGCCACAGCACATGGTTGTAAACCACCCCTGATGGGAGTCCCGAGACACTGTGCTAGCAATCCTTACCTGAACCATGAGAAGCCAGACTTTCTCAAATATGGCCCTATTGAAGTTGTCCTGGACACCCTCAACAGCTTGCCCGTACAAGTACGCTGCCTGGCTGGAGAGCTTGGCTAGCAAGGCCACCTTTTTCTGATCCGCTACTTGCTTCTCTAGGAAAACCTCTTGAGCCTGTGCCAACATGATTGAAATGAGAGTTTTGACGGTTTCGCGGCTAAGGTCGGACGAAGGTGCGTGGAGAAAGTTCTCGTTGATGTAAGTGAACATGCCGGCGGAGGCTTGAAAAGAGTGGTACGCGGCCTTGAGGCCTGACTCCTCGGATCTTGTTTGATGGGCGGCGTGACACGATAGGACGGCGGAGATGTTGAATATTATGGAAGCCTTTTCGAAGGCGAGCGAATATTGGGCCGTCGATTTATGTGTAAAGGCGTCAAACCTGCAAAACACTAGGGGTCAGAATGGTCTAAGGGCGCGTTGGGCCGCGAGACGCAGCAGGGGCAGCGGAAGAGATACCAGGTGAAGGAGATCTTGATGTGTTGCTCATCGACAGGAAAGCGCAAGTCGAGAAGCTCGAGCTGGCCGTAGTATCTGTAGAGCATATCGCGACCGGAGGTGCTGTCCTTGCCGGCGCCCCTCACGTCCTGTCGCAGACGATTGAGGGTGGCGCACTCCTCGGCATAGCGTTCAGGATCATCGCCGTATGTATCTCTGATGTAGTCCTTCAGGGGAGTGACCCAGTCGATTTCGTTTGTGGCCTTGAGAGGCGAGGAGATCATGGGCGACTGCGTCATTTTGAAAGAGGGCGACGAGGCCAGCTCCGGAGACGAGGTTTCGGCCCGGAGGAATCGCGGGGATGTCGCGGGGGACAGTGAATCGCAGTCGGAGGGGTGGTTTGCTGTGATGGGTAGCCTCGTTCAGATGTCTTGATGATTGGGTGGCATACGGGGCCTCTTTAGAGGTGGCCTTGGGAAGAAAAAGCGACGGGCTGGAGGTGGACGGATGCAGCTCTCCGGTCAGGTCGCTGGGCAGGTTGCTGGTTGCTGTCTGTCTTGCCGTGGCGGGCGGAGTGCGGGGTGGGGGCGGGCAGCGACGATTGAAGGAGCCCAGAATGGTAGCAGCTTGGTCGGGGGCAGTTGAGAGTCAGTGCACCCAAGCTCAATCGTGAGTACGTACTTCCGACCCTCTGTCGACCTGATACCGGTAGGTACCTACCTAGTAAGTCAGGCCAGGTCAGGTACCCGACAAGAGTAGGTAGTGCATATACCTTACGTATGCTCGGTTGCTGATGGGCAGAGAGGCAGACCCGGTTTGTGGTGCCGCTGGCTGCTGGTTGACGGAGAAGGATGCCCGCCGTAGTCGGGTAGTTGCTCTCTGCGGCGCTGATGGCGCTGGCTGTGGTCGGGTGGGTTGCTGTTCTGCGGCCGGCCTTAAGTTTTGGTGCCTGTTCAAGATGAGGTGCAGATTGACTGGAGGGTGTTGGTGTGGTAGTACGAAGGCTGGCAACAAATTGTCTTGTAAAGGCGGCAACAATATCGTTGTTTTCCTCTTTCTTTGTTTCTTTCTTTTCGCCTCCCTGGCTATTGCTTGCGAAGGAATGTACCAGACTCGTGTTCCTGTGAGGTCATAATGCTGGGGGACCTGGCGAGATGAGGGACTGTCGGTAATTTAGACAGAGGGCCTAAAGAGGAGCTTCTTGGGAAGGGCGGGGCAGCTTTCGTCTTGCCCGAGATGGCTCGGCGTCGTCAGGCGTCTCGTTTTCGTCTTCAAACACCTAATCACCCCAGGTTGCGCCTTTGGCGGTGGCGGTTCCGGACTGTTGGTGATATATGCTTGGTTGACGAAGCGCCCAGGCCTCGGAGGTTGGAGACAAGCAAAAGTCTGCGCCGTCTTTATTCGTCGCCGTAGTCTTGTTGCACTGCTCGGCTTAGCCTCGTGTGAGTGGTGTTGACGTTGGCGCATAACGTGTACCTCACGAATACTGGGAGAAGATGCGTTGGGCTGTCTTACGTAGCCGCCAGGCAGTGAGAATTGTCCACCACGAGCCGGGGATGTTCCTGGCTTTTTGGCGGGGGGCCTAGACGAGGGTACGAAACTGTCCGTCGCACTTGACTCACAAGTGAACTGTGAAGATTCCAGGTTCCTCTTTCGTGACTTTTCTTTAGGCAACTTCTCACACTTCCGTTGCTTCAATCCAAGTGACGACACCTACGCAGGGCGAATAGTGGCAGCTCCCAATGATCCGTCAGTCCACCAGACATTTCAGCCGTAGCCAGGCGCCCTCAACCGACTCTCGATCGGGCATCTATCTACATCTAGCTAAACGCGCCTATCCCGACTCTCTGGTGCCAATATCACAAAGTAACATCAACACGATGAGACCTCAAATCTACTTGAGGTCCGGGTCCCAATCACCTCACAGTTGATCAGGTTACCTCGCCTATCGCGTCGACATGCCCAAATGGCCTATCCCTCATCTCTGGCGGGATCACAGTGAGACGTTGCCCAATGCAACTCTCCTCCGTCTCTCGCATGCGGCCTCACTCCACCCCCCATAGTCTGCTCCGAGCAGCTCGACCCAGCTAGCTTTGGCATGGCTGTCTCGTGATATCCATGTGGTTCCGTTCAGTTCCACCTTGGCCAGACCGCACCTTCTGCTCATCACGGTCCCATCGCTGCTTACATGTACGTTCCGACTCTGCTGCATGTCAGCAATTCTCTTCTTTACCGACAGAGATGACTTGACTATTACAAGTGGGCGGAACGAATTCACCCACACTTCTTTATCTCAACCGAACAGGAACCTGAAAATGCGCTACAGATACTCGACGGAAGAGAAAGTAGCTTGACCATCAACGATGCTATGCCCCTTCAATATCAGGAGAGTCCATCCGCAATCCCACTAACACCTACATACAGGCACACTTGATCCAAACTTCGACAACCCACGCTTCCGCAACCACATTGGCCCCGACCTTCATGCAGGTGACGGGCCACCCAATACCCGGACCTCTAGCTACCCCTCCACCCGGTCCTCCCATTGGTCGCCGGCGGCCGGCGCTTCGTGGTCCCACTTTCAGGGACCCGAGCCAGGACCAGGTGCCAGGCCCGAACGGCCCGCTCCTTGCAAGGATCCCCGTCTTTCCATTCCTTTGTGGCATTTCTCCCGTTGCTTTCAGTTTCCTGGTGCGCGGCAAAACGCCGTTTCTGCGGCCGGAACCAACCAGCCAGACCCTGAATGCTAAGTGAGCATCACGGCGCTCACATGAATTCTATGCGTCTCATCGTCTAGATCTCTAAGCGCCCCGCGTCACAACAAGGCGACCTTCTCGGATTCCCCATCTCTCCGGCCGCAATTCACTCCTGCGAACGTAGTTGAGAAAGAAGTTGTTGAATATTGTCTTCATTGATTGGGTGTGGTCCTTTGTAAATAATCTGAGGTGAGTGGCCTCCGCGGGGAGCTGGCTTATCCTTCTTTCCTCCCCTCCTCTCCCCTCCTCCCATCTCTTCTCTCTCTCCTATGGTCTATACTACAGTGTACACTTTTTTCTTAGTCATGTGAATAATACAATCGAGTAAAGCAATGAGGCTTCCTCCATAAACCAAACAAAAATGGGCTGGCAATCTCCTTCCCCCCTTCTGAAGGTCGGGGGCACAAAGAAGCCAGAAACCCAGGGGAAAAAAAACCTTGTTAAACACCTGCCATGCAAGATCCTCCAACACTTTTCCGCTTTTTCTATAAGTTCGCGTCTACACCCGCCAAGGCCCGCGCAAGGAGGCCCGAGATATGGTACAAGGACGGAGGACATTAAAGACACCCTCTGACTCACGGCGAGCCGCCAAGAGCTCAAGAGTCCTTCTTGGACTCGTCCTTCTTCTCGTCCGTCTTCTTATCCGTTGGTGCCGCACCGTCCTCACCAGGCTTCTGGTGAGCCGGGTGGTTCGTCAGGGTGTGCCACATGGACTTGAGGAAGCCCTCGTTCTTGTGAGTCTCAGAGTCATCAGGGGATGCTGGCTGGGTTCTACTTTCGGGAATTAGTACAAACCGGTGTCGAGGTATCCTAACGTCAGGATAGTGTGAGGCAGAGAGGAAAGAAGAGGAGGGAAAGCCCGGCGTCGGCTGGCTCGCTCGTTCGTGTTCTCGCGCAGGGAAAAAGGACTCACCCCTGGGGAGTGACGTTCATAATCTTCCGCGCCGTCTTGTCTCCCATCTCGTTCGCCAGCATCTCCACCAGCGTACGCTGGTTCGCGCTCAGGTACTTTGGCATATTCACCCGGAACTCCACCTTGAGGTCGCCGGAGCCGCCCCGCCTGCCGTTGAGCTTCTTCATGCCCATGCCCGACAGCGTCAGCTTGTCGCCCGTGTTGGTGCCCGTGGCCACCTTGACGTTGACCTGCCCGTCGAGCGTCGGCACCGTGACCTCGCCGCCGAGCATCGCCGTCGTGATGGGGATGCTGGCCGTGTACAGGATATCCGACCCGGCCCTGCGGAACTTGGGGTCCGTCGCGACGCGCACAAAGACGTAGAGGTCGCCCTTTTGCGTCCGCATGCCCGCCTCGGCGTTCTTGCCCGTCACGGGCGCGTCGCCCGCGCCGTCGACGCGCAGACGCATCCCGTCCTCGATGCCCGCGGGGATGTCGACCGTGATGGTCTTGCGCTCCCTCACGACGCCGTTGCCCGCGCACGACCTGCACTCCGACCCCCGGGGGATCGTCGTGCCCGTGCCGCCGCAGCCGCCGCACGTCGACGCCATCTGGAACCCGCCGTTCATGAAGTGCACCCGCGTGCCCGTCCCGTTGCACGACTTGCACGCCGACCGCTTGGTGCCCTGCTTGAGCCCGCTGCCCGTGCACGTCCCGCACTCCGTCAGGGGCGTCACCGTGATGGTCTTGCTCGTTCCCTTGGCCGCCTCCATGAAGGATATGCTCGACTGCACCTCAATGTTGTCGCCCACCAGGATCTCCTGCTGGAACGGGTTCCGTCCGCCTCCTCCGCCGCCGCCGCGGCGTCCGAAGCCCTGGCCGCCCGTGAACGCGGAGAAGATGTCGTCAAAGTTGAAGCCGCCGGCGCCGCCGAACCCGCCCTGTCCTCCGAACCCGCCGCCGAATGGGTTTCCAGCGCCTCCGAACGGGTCGCCGCCGCCGCCGCTGGGGTCGAAGCCGGCAGCGCCGTACTGGTCGAATTGCTGCTTCTTCTTGGGGTCGGACAGGATTTCGTATGCGCTCTGGATCTCGCCAAACTTCTCCTTGGCTCCGGCATCTTTGTTGGTGTCGGGATGGTATTTCTTCGCTAGGCCGTAGTATGCCTTCTTGATGTCGCCCGCAGATGCTGATTTGTCAACACCCAGGGTCTTGTAGGGGTCGCTCGGTGCGAGGTTGGTGGATGTCGCATGAAATGCCTTGAAAGGTAAACACTCAGCAAGCTGCCTAGACACTTTAGCAAGCGATATTCACTTACACGTTTGGATGAGGGAGCTTGAGATGTCACCCGGGAAGCTAGAGGCTTCGTGGGTCTAACGGTACAAGTGACGGTGTGGATTTGGGCGCGTTTGCAGACCGAATCCTTGAGCTTGGATTGCCTGGAAATACGGCTGGACAGCAGACGGCCCGGTGCCACTGCCTTGGTGAGAATGCTTGCATTCATTGTGAAGCTTGTCGATTCATCTGAAGCAGTATGTCGTAGATTTTAGGGGGTTAAATTGGCCCGGGGATGCGGAAAAAGCATCAACGTCCAAGTGGAACTCTCCCGCAAATTCTTTGCCCTTCGATGCCATTGCAAGACGGGATGATATCAACTTTTTTTTTTGGCCCGATGCTAAGCCGAAAGTCGGTGATTGCCTCAGGCACCTGCAGCAAGAAAGGCGCGGGTGAGTGCAGGGGGACCGGGGGTAATTTGGATAGGTAAAATGGGGACAACTGCTGCACCTCAAGCTTCACGTCAGCAATTTGGGATGGCTTTAAGTGGCTCGCGAACAGGCCCCACAGCCCGCAGGTGGAAATTCGCGGCTACTTCTGGGGGATGCGTGTTGTGCGTGCATGAAAGCCTATGGTGCGCCGGGACTCGGAGGAGCAGCCGGGGGGAATTAAGGCGCCAATGTCAAGACTAAATGTAGATTTCTGAAGACTCTTCCGATCCAAAACTCCATATTCCATTACTGTAATAGATCATAACTATGTAAGAAAAAAATGAGATAAAGGGTCTAGCCTTTGTCGTCTATCGTCATGGGGGGTTTCCTGCCCACGGTGAGGTATCATTATGCAGTCCGAAATCGCCCAAATGGCCGGGCGTGGCTCTTTGCTCCGGTGACACACAAAGACGCCCGTCAACCAACTTCTTTCGATGCGTTTAATTCCCAAATAGTAGTCGTTCCGTCATTAAGGTCTTCAAGTGTCGTGCGATTTCGAATTCGCTCTTCTGTGGCGGTCGCCCTTGGTTATGGCCTGGCTCCTGACTTTGTGAATAAAGTCGACGATGACATCGTTTTCTTGTATGCCGACACCATTGAAGTGTTTCCGTACCGTCATCGCCAGTTGCTCTTTGCTCTGCCTTCTATTCTCCTTCTTCCGGGCCATCGTTGGGGAGTGTAGGCCAATGCCACCGGGTCGCGAAAGGACCAATTGACGGTACGAGCAAGAGAAGGAGGTAGGAGTGTTGAGGTGGTGTTCGCGACGGTACGCATGGAGTGTGTCTCGCTCAAAGGTTTTCCATTGAATCTGGAAAGGACAAAGTTAGCCGGCAGTTTTACAAGGCTGGGATGCCTGCGTGGGCATAGCGAGGTCGAAGGGGTGAGGTGTATTCCTACGCCAGGATTTTGGGCAGTCTCCTTGGCCGGAGCGGGAGCGTCAGCAGAAGCGTTGGCATTCGTGACTTCTCGCAATTGAGAGCCCGTCGAGCTAGCTACACGGCGAAGCTTGCCATTCGAGTGACTACCAGAACTAGACGTGTGCTTCTCTTTGGTGTTTGTGTTCTCGGACTTTGTGTCGTCGTGAGCGACCTTGGAAGATTTGGGTGCCATGACGGTAGTAGGGATGAAATAAGGATTTGCCGAGACCGTCGTAGCTGGTTTGGTACAGGCCGTAGGAAATGGAGGAGAGAGGCGTGCTCAGGTATCACATCGTACTCGAGAACGAAGACTGGGAAGAAATTGGTGAGGTGTGGTGAGGGGGGGAAGAGAGGCAGGGCCGGGGCGAGAGAGTGGCAGCGTGCGTGGATGCGTGGTGTGGGCGAGAAGGGGATTTTTTCTCACGTCATGGCACCAAACAGCCGGCGGTGCCTCTGTTGGTTGCTAGCAGGTTGCCCAGGGCCCTGCCTGCGTCCAGGAGCGAGCTGCGGGGCGGCCACTGGCGGCATGGCGGAATTCGGGGTCTGGCGCGAACTCTGAACAGCGAGCGCTGGACAGTTGGAGAGAGCACGAGAGGTTGTGCCTGGAAAAGTTGGGCCCCGTTGCTGGCGTCAATGTGGTGCGACATCGGTACGTACATACACAAAGTCGCTGCTCGAAATGCGATCCCCGACATTCTGCCTGCTTACCTAAGTTACTTACACCTGTCGGCTCCGGAGCAAATTTTCAGCTCCAGCCTAATTGGGATAGCGCAATGGTGGACCCTCCCTCGAGAGTGGAGGTTCCGTCGGCCCCTCACCTTTTTCCGCGCTCTCCAACTCCAGACGGCGGCTACCTATTCCCGTTGTCCAGTCCTTTCATTGAACACAACAGATCCTGCTATTTCAGACTCGTGGAAGCCAAATGCCCTTCACCAATGCATCCAATCTCGAGGCAATATCAGCAGCTGCGACTTAGAAGATATGTACACTGGAAGCAATGCGTGCCACCGGCCAGTAAACAACACACGGGCTCCGATTGGCAACTTGCCAATCCAGGCAGGGGCAGTAAATCAAGCTTTCGATTGGGAAAGCTTCCGTCCGCCGCAAATCAAAATCACAGAACGCAGTACTTATTCAGCAGAGCTTGAAAATTGAAGGATGTTGTGCGCCCAAGGATTGACGTCTGCTTGCACGGGACAATCCCCTCTCACCAACTCAACCCCAATTTCCCCACATTGAGGGAGGACGACTCTTGGCTGCACGAGCATATCGGCCACATCCGCGAGCACCAAGGGAGCTTCTCCTTCATTCTTGGCCTCCTGATCTAGCCAGGGCATCTCAAGACCTTCAGGGCTCCCGGCCATACAGATACCCGAGCCAACATACGGCCCGCGAGATTTGCCCGACACGACTGTGTCTGGGTTTCTATCCCCCACGCTGTACGAAACACTAGGTGTGGCTGGCCCAGTAGCTTGGGTTGCCATCTCGCACGTAATTGAATCTATACACACGAGGGTCATCCCGCGTCGAGACGCAGGTGGACCAAGAGACCCCCAAACTTTCTTTCGACGCCAGACTTGAGAGCCCCACGGCGTGCTATCTGCTCTATTCCTCAACTAATATCGAAACTAACTACGAAGTACGCAGGTCAGACATGAGGGAATATCGTCTGCTTTGAGGCCTCAAAATTTCGTCTATTCATTTGACTGACGCCATGGTCCTGCCAAAGGCCGCGAGAAGGGGGGCTGGCTACCCAAACGATGCATGATCGGGCATCCTCAATCGAACGCGCATCAGCCTGTGGATTGGTCAGGTGTTAAACCTGGCCACGGCTCCAATCCGTAAGGACATGCGCAAGTGGCACGCCTTCGATGAGAGACCTGAACCCTCACGACCTTTTGCCCGCCGTAGGCGCCACAAATACCTACCAATGATATTCATCCGAAAAGAAGAGTTGATGGCATGACCATACAAATCGTCCAAGGAACCGCAACTCCAAGACCAACACGAAAGCCATCAACTTTGCTGCCAGTTCGATATACTTCCGAACTGTGGCTTGCCAGGGAGATCATTTAGCTGTTACCCTCACCCTTGCTGGCCCACGGCCAGCTTGCGAAGGAGCCCATGTCCCTGCTCAAGTTCACCGTGAGTGGAGCCGACTGTCTGTGGTTTTCCTCCAACAGGCGCTGACCGACGATCAGCTAAATATCCCTGCACCCACCTCCACCACAACTTTTCGCGAGTCGCCTCGGCCCTAGGCTGCAGAGTACAGTTAAAGATGACGGCTACGGAGTATTATCGACATCATCTAGTTGGCAACTTGAACGCCAAATTGCCTTGGACTCATTCTCTTCCGGAGATTCCATAATCCATGTCAGGTGGCATCATACCCTGCCTGGAGAGAGGCGATTCGAAATGCAGCTGGGTCGTCGCCATTTCAAATGAGTTGTATGGCTGCGTGACAACCAGCGGGAAAAGAAAAAGCGTCCTGCGCAGCTACGAAGCACAATTGCGGTGCAGGGTACCAGGGTAGCGAGTCCGAAGATCCATCGTTTCCGAGTCGAACAGCTATTCCCAACCCGTAACCGCTAATCTGTTGACCGAAGCAATGCGACTTGAGCCCATTTGACTGCCGGCATCGATGGAAGACGGGCGTGGATAGCTGCCCACGAGCAGATTTGGAGTGCCAGTGTCCCGACCAAGAAGGGTCGTGTGCTGCCTTTCCGATTTCAGGGTCTATACCATATTGGGAACCCATTACGAGATGAGAAGAGCCAAGGTATGAAGAGTGCATCAACGGGGGTGGCCGAAGTACCGGCTGAGACTCCGGAAATACTCTTTTGAACGTATCCGTCTGCTTCGATATTGAGACTATGCCGACTTGGAAGATTCACCCACGCCCCACCCGAGAATGCGGTATTTGTTCCTGATGTGCCTCACGCATCTCAGCCTCAGAGCGTGGGGTTGATGACTGGCACAAGATCGACAACGACATGGCATCCGCCTTTGGGTGAATTCGTACGCGTATGATGGGCGGCTAGCTTGGAGTACCACAACATGGCCGTTTCCGAGCTTAATCAGTGAGTGCTGCAGCTTCGGTTTGATAGCGACAACTTAGACGCGATAGCCGGGCAGTTTGGTAGGTCTGGTGCGACCTGCCACGAGAATAACCACGTGTGGGATTAACGGTGACAGGTGATTGACAGGCAATTTGCAGCAAATTTGTGCTGGTTTTGTGGCGCAACCCTGCCTCTTTTCTGCGTCTTGCTCAACGCTCAGGGTGTACTACGTACTTCTCTCACATTGTCTCACTTTCTGTCAACACAACACCACCCTCGAGGGGAGCAATCTTGCAGCTCTTAGCACCATTGACGCCGAGGTACCACAGAGCGGCAAAGGGTCATGAAGCAAATTACGTGGACAATTGCCCTAATGAGAACGGTCTCGGTGGGAGTTTTGACAGTGTCGTCCGTGGGTAGCTAACCGTCAAATAACGCAGATGCTGGTTGGCAAAGGCTGGCAGCAATAACCCCCAAAGAGAAGCTCGAGAAGTCTTAGGCTACACTGGCGGCCGATCCACGCAACCATGTCGATAGGCCGGGGTAGGGCGCCCCAGAAGGGTGAAGTCCACCGTCCAAGCTCCAGACCGCGCCCATCCCCACACGTCTCGTCTTCTTCAAGTGAGCTACTGAGGGGACTCGAGTCTCACACCGGCCATCCCTGCAGAAGCTAGCCACGCCAGTCACGGACGGCATGGGCATGCTTGTCGTAAGGCGAGCGAGGAGAACTCGGGGGATCTTTGGGGGTCTTTAGACGGGGACCCTCTAGCTCGAAGGGACCAGTCTGTGTTTGCTGTGCTCATCCAGTTGACGGTCGTACGACGACAGAGACCACCACCTGGAAATGTCATGAGAGCACCCTCTCAGCTTGACTGACCCGCTCCATTGCCTCGCTACTCGGAACCATGTGGAGCTATTGTGAGAGCAAAACGTCACTGATTCTTCCTTCACCTTGGCTCAACATGGCGGCTTGCCGACCGATATCCGTCGACTAAAAAAGATGAGGCGAGCGATGTGATGAGTTGGGGGGTTCCTGACCCGATATACTTACGGCTTAGTCTTCTTATTATCCACGCCAACCAGATCGATCTCGGCTCCCTCACGGTAGAAAAAAAAAAGCAGGTCGGAAGTGTCCGGTTTCCCACCCGGCGAAACGCATTCATGGATTGCAACCAGACCCAGCGGTGGCCGGCAGTCTTGAGCATGTTCAGTTACATTTTCCTCGGCTACGACTATAGCGACGGCTGTTGGAGCGGGATTTTGCGGCCAACCAGGCTTCTGGGCTCATTGCTCTTTTCCTACCTCTCTCTCCGTGTACCTATCTCTCTCCGTGTACCTATACAGAGGAAATGTAGGGAGCATGGTGCGGCTGCCTCGGACGGATACCGCACGCTTTTCTTCCATGAGGGTAAATGACGAGGCGCAGGAACGCACATGCACAGGTGGTCACTTGTCAACTTTTATTTTGTCGGGTTCTCGCGAACGGTACCGAAGACCAGGCGGATACCCCCTTCTGCTTACACGACCTGTTGCCCTTGTTCAAGTTCCGATATTGCCCTGCAGCACACTTTCAGAGATGGTCGTTCCCTCGGCGCGTCTATCCTGCCAGAGGCGAGGTACCATGGCAATTATTACATGTACGGATATACGATAGTAGTGCCCGGCCGCATCATCTTTCCAGTTTCCCCCTCCCCCCTCTCCGAGTGCACCCTCAAAGACCATTCGGTAGACTGTGCCAAGGAAGGGTCTCAAAAGGGGAGTCACCCAAAGTCAAGGAGCATTCCAACCGCAACATGACATGTTCATAATTACTTACATGTATGTACTCTACGGATACTCTATGTGACTATGTACGGAGTCACGGAGTATACTGCGCAGGAAGGCGCACTAATGAAGGACCCCTCCTCCATGGCGTGGCCCACCACACCTTTTTTTTTTCGCATGCTACGGCTCTACCGTGTAGGTACTGCGGTATGTGTGCTCTTGTGGGAGTGCACAGCTTAGTAGCTGCTTGGTCAAGGGCATCTTTCTGCGTTCTGCGCATCGCATCGCATCACATCGCATCGCTGGCGGGCCTCACACCTTGGCTACACCCTGGGTTCACCGATGATGGCCAGGTTTGTCTGGAAGGGTG